GTTGATGCTAAATTATGCCGTTACACATTTTTTCGTATTTTTCTATGGCCCGTTTGCACCTCCAGTTCGTGTGGAAAACACTTTGCTTGTGTGAGTTACTCCGGAGGTAGTGTTGGTGGATCCTTCTAATATGTTGCACAAATAGCAATTAAAAATCCAGTTAAGCGGAAAACAGGCAAATTGAACGTATTTTAGCCAGGCGCAATTAATGGTTTTAATTCGACCAAACTAAAACGGAAGCGATAATCCTATTTTTCTTTTTCAAAGGTTTAATTTGTTCATTTAAATGGGAAGACAATGAATATAATTAATTGACTGGGCATTATATTTATTTATTGAAATTAAATTATATGGAAAAACGAACTGAGCTTAAAATTTCAATTCATTTTAATATCATATAACCCTTTTATTCATTTTAAGACTGTACACTTATCTAATTTCCTAATAAATTGAAGGAACTTACAGCATTATAATCATATCTGATTTAAGTTTAATGATATATATACTAGCCAATGCACTCTCATTAAAGAAAGAAAGTTCGTAGATATTTCTTTAAAAAAAAGTAAAGGAAAGTATAACCTTTCCATTGGTCATTCAACATTTATCTAGAACCGCTCACGATTGTTTGCTCTGCCCCAAAGAGGTGGTCATTAAATATTTTATTATTACATTTTCTAATAGTTGGTTAGGGAAGAAAAGAAAATACGCCACGAAATGTCGCAATTCGAGTAGAGGGTTGTAAAATTTAATTTATCAAACTTCTGCTACGTTGCACCCGGACTAGAAAGAGACGGAGGAGGAGGAAAAGAAAGAGACACCGCACGGAAACCGGAAGGCGGATGGTTGGGAGCAAATTTTGTGCCTGCACTTCCGCTTATAGTCGCATTTGTGGATTGTGCGGTGGATGGGTAAGTGGTTCGGGGAGTTGGTGGCTGGAAATCCAGACCCATGTCGCGTGGGTTATTTATAATGCGACGGGGCCAACTGAACAACACGAGTTTATTAGCCAACGCAATTTACGAGCTGACACAATTTTAGGGTCTATGTATCTCCGCTCAGTTTTATGTGCACCACCGCACTGTGATGGAGCTGCCGGGAAAAATGTGTGCAGTCAGCCAGATGGAAGAGCCTATTTATGGGATTCCATTTGGACAAGAGTGGTAATGCTAATCTAGGCAAATGGAAATCGGAAAGTCTACAGATAAGTGCAGTTAATTCTGATTAATTGGTTTCTGTTCGAATCGAAGAATAGTTATAGCATTTATCAAGTAAGTATTTAGTTGACACTTTTAATCTTATCAATAGACCAAATACTAGTGTATTTAATAAGACGATACCTATTCAGCTCTTATCTTAAAGATGATTTATAATAGTTTAACTTTGCTAATTAAAATAGAAAATATCTTTATATAAGTACATAATTAAAGCCACGGAAAAGGTGTACAATTCAAAATTGTATAGTTATCGTCCTGAACCTCCCACAAAACCTCCAAAAGCAACCTTTCATCATCTCCCCGTAGAAGCTCTTGGAAAAGTCTGAAACTAATGCACGCCAATTTTCAATACAGAAAATCGAACTTTGAAGTGGACGCCTCTATGCCACGCCCCACGTTGCGTTACTTTCGCCGGGGGGCGTTCTTCAAGGGGCGGCGATGGAGGGGGTTATAATTGGGGGACTGGGGGATCTGCAGACGGCACTCGGCGTGCATTTCTATTTTGCTTGGCCGAAAAACTCTTGAAACTATTATCGATGAGGCGCCCGCTCAGTGGGGAGGTTATTCCTAAGTGGACGAGGGCGTCACTGACACCGTCAACACGACTGACGAAGAGAAAATGCACTCGAAAAGATACTAATTTGAATTTACTTATATTTCATATTTAATTAGAAACATAATAAACGAAAACAAATCTATAAAAATTAACTTATTTTTATCAGAAATAACTTCATTACTGTGAAAATTTTGTATTGCCCACTAAATGAATCAATTAGTTTTATTTAGGTGTCTAAAAGTATGCAATAATATATTTAAGACTAAGAAGTAGCATTGATTCATTCAGAATGACAACTATCCCATATTCACTGCATACTTTTAGGCACCTAATATTAAATTTCAAAGAGATTTCAAAACACTTCCATTATTATTTATTTTTGTTCGCATTTCTGGCCAATTTTTTTGTGTCTTTAATGTTCATAAACGTTTTTTAAATGATGTCAAGAATCAAATATTTTTCTGACTGTAGAGGTCATTGAGGGCTCGAACGATGGCGATGCCAACGAACGCGTTTTGTGCGTGTTGAAGCACACAGTGAATATAAAAAGGGAAAATATGAAAATATCCCTGCGAGCTAACGATGGGGAAAGCGAAGGGCTGCCTGCCCAGCACTTTACCACTTTTTATGCCTGGCGATAAATTAAAATTTTTATTAACATACTTTCTCCGGCGAGAAAATAGTGGGAGGAAGGAACGGAAAGCACCGGAGTCGCGGACCAAAAACGTCAACTTGTCCAGGCTCTTGTCGGCGATTCCCTCCAAAAGATGGGTGGGTGAGAGTGGAGGATTCTTTACGACTTTTGCCAACGCACGCTGAAACTGACCGGTACCACCCCCCTTTTTTCTCATCCCCATTCAAACTACCAACCAAGCTGGAGGAGCCCCTGCAATTATAATTTGTTGATGCAGTAGGAGAACCGGAACCCCAGGAAATGCAGTTTTTCATCTGGTTCACTCTGGGCAATGATGGTGGGGAGGTGGAAAATCGGGGGGGTTAGATGGAAACGGAATCTGCAGTCTGCCGCATTATCTATGCATTATCGTGGCTCGGCCATTGGCCATCTGCCGCCTGCCGTCTCAGCAGAAAATAATATTCTATTAAATTATGTATACGTTTTTGTCGGAGGATTTTGTAAAGTGAATTTTCCACTTGTCGTGCTCAGACGAAGCAATATGCACGAACTGCATAAAAGGAAATGCAATTTTAAATGGGGATGAGATTGGATGTAGGTAAATATATATTTCTGATTTTTTCAGAATGAAGAAATTGAAAACATTTTATTATTTATGTTGGTAATTAATAAAAGCAAAATGCATTAAATATTTAAAGATTGTTTTTTATAAGCAATGTCCCCAAGGAATTTTTAAACCAGTTGGATTTCAAATGCCATGAAGTGTTTTTCAGTTATCACGCAGAACCAACAAAAAATCAAATAAATACGTTGCTACGTGTTAAATTATTTCCCCCTTTTAATTAATTATTAAACGGAGCATACATAATTCCGATCTCGTGCTTAAACGGACAATGGACACAAATGCGAAATGCAAAGCCCACGTTGAGGCCCCTACCTAAAGGACCTCGTTGGAATATCCTTCGAATGGCACGTAGGCAAATATCCCTTCATGATTTTCCCTTTCTCCGCCCCTGCCCAATGCGTTGGAATGCAAATATTTTCCACTATAATTGAAGCGCGACAAATGCGAGTTGTGAGCGAATGTGATTGCGTTGTTCGGGCAATTTCGATGGGTTGTTGGGGGGAGTTCTTTGCAAAGCGGTGAAACAACACGTATTTAATGCACATGCAATTCAATCATCCAATTTAGCATGCAAACAGAAATGATTTGTTCAATTTAACCGACCAGCAACGCGGAAAGGCAAGTAATGACATTACATTTTACGAAACATTTTTAAATTGATGCAAAAAATCCTCATAATTGCAGTTGTGCTAAAAAAATAATAATGCATGCAAGTAAAATAATTACAACGCGGTAAATTGCAATTGCGGACACGGGCAGGAAAATCGAACAATTGTCGCACATTAACCACAGATGCTTTCGGATGGTCAAGGATGGGCAGATACATTAAGAGGGGCGGATGGGTGGTGCCGGGATTTTGCATGGGATCATCGATCCCCGGATGAATGACAATTTCGGTTCACTTGTTTCACAACGAGTCACGGCGATGTTAAGCGAGACAAAGGAAGCCTACGGGTTAATACTTCCCCCGTTGTCATTGTTTTAATACCCATTAATCCTTGAGCAAAAGGGTATATTGAATTCCTGCAATGTAGGATATGCATTTGTCTCTTAGAACCTTTTAATATTCATAAAGTTTTACCCCACTTATTAAGTTGTATAGCACCCATTTGAAAATTAGAGACCGATTATTAAATAAAGTCATTAGCTTTCAACCCCTGCAAGAAAGCATACTAATTTTTAAAAGTCCATTATGCATTTCCAGAAAATATATTAAATACTCATTTATATGTCCAGCAGAGAGGTTTTTATTGTTATGGGCCTTGGTCAACAAATTTAAGGTATTCACGGCAGCCAAAAATTCGATTTCATCGAGATAAAGGGGAATTTTATGCTCGATACTCAAAACTGCTCAAGTGGAAAACAGCTACGAATAGTGGATTTTGAAATGTTTGAGGCAAAGTTTAATGAGGACGAATTCCTTTGAAAGTTATAAATACTACAGGTTTGGTGCTCAGTCATAAAAGTTTTTCCGCTTTGGGTAATAGCTAAATGTTCATCTTACTATTTTAAAACCATCGAAATAAAAATTAAAAATTATATAACCCATTTTTGAAATATACACTGAAGAACACAAAGTACACATGCCAAACCAATAGTAATATAGACATAGATAGGAATGTCTTTAATTTATGATAAAAACCTATTCAAGATTTCGTTATATTTGTCTAACCTAAATGTAAATATTCAAATGAATCCCTAAAAGATTTATAAATATCTTTCGTTTTCTTTTGGTCCAAAAAAAGACATTATTAACATCCCTCTTTAAAACTCTTGAAAATGGAATACTTATACTAATTTCAGAAGTGATCTTCAAATGAGTTTTTTGGCTGATTTCAGAAGCTTGAACTTCATGATGTTAGTTGTCATTTTCACACCAAATATTTTCAAGACCCTGAGATGCCCCAAGCACTTTTCTTGGAAATTCGCCTTTTATTGCCAGCATTTCTATTGTCTTTTATGTCAACTCACCAGACACAAGAGTTGATGAATTTTGTCGCTTCGCAGGATGGGCAACTTCAGAAAGCACTCACACACACACTCGCACACTCGCAGCAACCGAGCCTGATTGTGTGTTAGTGTAGTGTTGTGTATTGGTATGGGTACTAGAGTGTTTATTTCGGAGCGCGCCAAAAAGTATGCAATGCGAACTGTGAGTCTTGTGTTGCGGGTCTGCGATTCGGTTTCCGACTGACGATGGCTTGGTGGCTGATGGCTGATGGTTGATGGCTGGTAATGTGATTAGTTGGCCCGTCTATCGATGCTAGTGTGCTACTGTGTGCGAGTAAATTTTAATTTAATTATGTCGCTCTCGTTTCAATTACGAGAACCGCTCGCAGCGAAGACACGCACTAATAAACAAAGGCCAACAATAACAGAACGGAAAAATAAGCGACGGCTAGCGGTGTCACTGCCGAAGGAAGGAAAACTGAAGGAAAATGTGTCGAATGAAGAACCAGACCAACCAGCGAAATGTGCTCTGCGTCACCCTCTCCGCTCGCTCTCGTGCTCTCGGCTCCGCTTTTCCGCTGCTCTCTGGCTTTTCCGCTTGCTTCCGTTGAAAATGCTGGCAATCGAATGCAACTGCCTCCCACAAGCGACTGAAATGCGTTGCATACGCCAAGGCGCACGGTGAGTCCCCGAGGAACGAGTGGAATTGGATCGTTGGCTGGCTCGAGTGAATTCTTGAGTGAGTGCAAAGTGCAGTTTGGAGTGCACGGGGAACGAGTGGAATTCCTTAACACCTGTGCAAAAGGGGTTGAACGGGCGGAAAATGCCCATACTTTTCCTATTCTTTCTTTATCGCCACCGAAACGGCCAGTCGAAATTTTAATTGGTTTGCCCAACTTACAGCACACAATTCAATTGAACCACTCGCCCTCTTGGCGCTCATTAACCTGGAGGGTTTTATGGAAAGGCCATAAACTCCAACTTCCTTAGTTCACTTTTGGGATTGTATGTCTTTCAACTACTATTAATTCGATCATAAGCAAATTTTTTCTTTTACAGTCAAACTTCCCTAGCCTGAACTTCTCCAAGTTAATGTATTTAGTAATTGAATCACGAAAAATATTATACAAAAAAATCTAATTATTTATTATTATTATTATTTTCCTGGCCCGACAATATTAAAAAGTACTGCATACTGTTAGACACCTAAATATTAAAATATTTTTTAATTCCAAATTAAATAAATATATTGAGTTGTTGGCTCTCGAAAATTAGTATGCACTTAGTATTTAATATTAATTATATTCAGGTGTCTAAAAGTATGCAGTAAATAAAGAGTTAAAATAATTATTATCTAAACGAACACACCTTAGGTGTGTTAATTTAAAAGTAATTTCAAAAAACTGGTAATAAATGTGTCCCCAACGCATTTTTTAACATATGTTTCAAGTAATTGACACGATCGTATCACTAATTTTTGGTACTACTGCAGGGCATTAGGTCCCCATCAACAGCTGACACAGAAACACTTTTACCCGCAGCACTTTGTGGAATGGAAATCTATCTCTCGCCAGCATTACCTGAAAACGCTCGCAAAAGATGTCATTCCTGGTACATCCTTCTGCCATCCGACGAGGAGATAGTGACGCAGCTTAAGGGCGATTCAGGAACACCCCTGCCATTCCTCCAGATTTCACCCACAATGGCACTCGTTCATGGACTCCGGCGCTGACTTCTCCGCCGCGAGCAGGTGTTTCCATTAACATCAGGACAATAAAGGCAACGCACGCACTGCAATATGCAACAGTTGCAGACACGCAGGAAAAGCGTTGAAAATGGGAAATACGGGGGCGGTTCAGTGGGCGGTGTGTGATGCAATGCACATTTGTAAGAAGCTGTGTAATCTATCCATGAACGCTGCTTCCGTTTTGCATTTTATATGCTTAACGCATCGTTTGGTCGGATGAAATTGCGTTTCGTTGTCGTTGCTGCTGAATTTATCTGCTCTGGATATATACCCACATATATCCTTTTTCAGCGTGATATTGAGTCTGCCATCGATTGGGAATGCCGTTTGACAGCTGCCTCCCCTTCTCCACCGCTCATCCATTTTGCGGCTTTAAGCGAGCACGACCAACGAGCCAATTAAAACTTTTAGCCAATCGACTTAATTAACGAAATGCTCAAATTGTACGATTGTCATGAGCCCGTGGAAAGTGATAAGTATGCAGAGACGAAAAATCTTTATGAATATAATTCGTTTTCGAGGAATCTTAAAATGTATCTCCTTTTATAAGTCACAAATAACATCAAATATTTGTTACACCTGAATAATATTTTGCGTAGCCTTTACAGACAATTAATAGCCGATAAATCAAATTACATTTAAATCAAAAATTATGAAAGAAGTATGGTCGAGTCAAAACAATATGGGTTACGATCAGTGGCGGATTCAGAATTTGGATATAGGGGGTACATACAAAAAAAAGTTGAGTATGAATCCAAAAATTTCGGAATACATACATATTACTTATACTTTTTAACCCGAGTGGGGGGATCTATCCCCAATATGCTCCCATGGATCCGCGCATGGTTAGGATAATATTAAATATTCAACATGTTAAAAAATTAGTCACAATATGCAGTTTCTATTAAAATATTCAATGCTTTCGATACGGTTTTTTCCTTGTTAGAAAGTGCGACAAAAAGTACTTCAACTTAGGAGCAGTTGTCAGACAAGCGGTACCCTCCTGACATGCTGAAGTATTTTTTATACACCATCATAGCTTGGGGTCTTTTGGATCCCCATACTCAAGGACAGGGCTTTTCGCACAGCCAAGGTCCGGTGGCCTATCAGCAACCAACGCTAGCTGAAAAGATTGCAGCACACCAGCATCAATGGTTCACTTACAATTCCCAAAAAGAAACTGAAACTCAGGAAAAAATCGACAAGTTGGAGAGTGTCATAGAAAGCCAAGTGCAGGCGATACAAATCAAGATGGGTAACGAAATTCAGGCGCTACGGAAACTTATTGAACACACATCAGAAGAAGAAACTTAAAGGCAGACTGGTTCTTCCTTCAAATTAAAACAATATGGGTTAAGATATTCAACATGTTGAAAAATTCGTCACAATATGCACTTTCTATTAAAATATATATATATATGCTTTAAAAGGCTTTCGATACGGTTTGTTACCTGGTTAGGAGGGGCGAAAAAAACTACTTAAACCAAGAATCAGTTGGACAGAAAGGTTGGGTCTGACAAGTTAAAACCTCCAGATATGCTGAAGTATTTCTTATACGCCATCATTGCTTTGGCTCTTTGGGAGCCCCATGCTCAGGGACAGCACTTTTCGCAAGGCCAAAGTCCAGTGGCCCTTCCGCAACCAATGCTAGCTGGTCAGATTGCTGCACACCAGCAGCAATGGTTCACATACACTTCCATAAAAGAAGCTGAAACTCAGAAGAAAATCGACAAGTTGGACAGCCTCATAGAACACCAATTGCGGGCGGTACAAATCAAGATGGGTATTGAGCTGCAGGCGCTACGAAATCTTATGCAGTATACGTCGGAAGAACATCAGGAGAAAATGAAAGCTTTCCAGAGGATCAACCAGTCACTCTTCGAACAGATTGGATCTCGTTTATTTTACATTGAGAGAAAACAACCAGTAAGTTGGTTTTATGCATACAACAAATGTCGCGAATTGGGAGGTCATTTGGCGACTTTTAATAATGCCAGTGAGTTTAGTTTGGTCGTTACAAGATTTGCAGATAGCGTTTTCTGGATTGATCTCTACAACATGGCCAGTCACTCGGAGTTCGTATCGTCGTTAACCGGCAGGTTACCGCCATATTATAATTTCAAAACTGATTCAAAAAAAGATAGATGTATTTATGTAAAACACGGATTAATGCGCCCTGAACATTGTTGGAACAAGTACTACTTCGTATGCCAAACCGATACATGGATATGATAAACTGCAAATTGATCGTATTTTAAAATATAAGAAAATAATAAAAATAAAATACATAATTTACTAGTAATTTGTACATTTCCAATCGTTTTCTTTTATAAATAAGCAAATAAAACATTTAAACTCCATTTTTGGTCAAACGACTTAATAATATAATCTAAGCTAATTTGAAAAAATAACTCTTCCGCATTTTGCTTCCCCATATTTCCCTTAGTTCCCATAGAAACCCAAACTTTACTTGGTAATTGCAAATGACACACGCGGTCGAAATTTGCAAAACAAATTCGTTATTAAATCCAATTTCACACCCACATAAATCGATAAACATTCTTAACAAGTTATACCATAAAATTTGTTTCAATTCTTTCAGTATCATGACATTAAGTAGAATAAATTACACAAATTTTAAAACAATAGTTAAGTAAACAACATTTTAAATAACAATTATAAATTATTTCAGAGCTTTGCGCTTGCTTTAAAAACAGAAGCCTCCAGATATTGAAATAAGGTTTCGGCCCTACCTTTTTTCGTGGTGTGTATAGTGTAGGGTAGGCAAACCATCAAGTGCAGAGCCGGCGGTGCGTATTATTTTCAAATGCCTCACACAGGATGTGTCCACGTTCCGTGCAGAAGTGAGGGCGGCCAAGCCACGCCCCCTCAATCACCCCCCACCCCCAGGGAAGCCGCCCAAATGCTGACAAAAATGCTTTTGATTTGTGGGCCAGTGGCACCCACGCTTATTAGAATCTTGCCATTGTGTGCGACCCAAAGTGCAACTAGCAGAGACAGATAGCAACCAGCAAACAGAGCGCAATTTATGGCCAGGGAACGGGATTTTCGAAGCGGGATAATAGGATTGCGGCTGTAATTTTTGGGGCTCTTCATTCGCCATCTCCATTTTTACCAGAAAACTACTCCACCAGATGAGTCACATTCTAAACAATTCTAATTAAAATTCAAGTAAGCTCAACTCTATTGAATGGTTTTAATTGTTAAAGCATTATCAGACTAAGGAATCGGGAAACTTGGTCACAAACAAAATATACTCTTTAATTCCAGAGTAGTGATGAGAACTAAATCTTTTGGGACAAATTAAATTTGTTAGCTGGATGTTAGGAAAAGTCTGTGGCTTAGGACATTTTAAAAGATCGTTCTAAAGGACTTCTGTAAATTGTAAATTGAATACAAACTAAAATGCAGCACTGCCATGATTATTATTCATCATCATTACATCATCTTATTAACGTAATAACAATCAATAACTTCAGATAATTTTAATTGAACATTAAAAATCTTTTAAAATTTAAATTAACTATAATTGTTAATTGAAATATTTTCATATTTAAATTAAATAAAATCCGGATTGGATAAAAAACAGTAGTAGTAAAAAATATTTGAAGTGATTATGAAATTCAATAGGTTTCTATTTCAGTGTATGAATTATTTATTAATTTTTATTTTTTATTTAAAATACTAAATAATTAAGTTTGCTTGGGCGGTAGCAGAACTGAAATGTCTAAGTTCTCGACAAGACCGATTTCTTAAAATATCTTCTCTCTTGTTAATGCACTTATCGAATAATATTTAAAATAAACATTGTAAATTTAAAAAAAAAAAGAACATTTTGAAATGACCAGCGCTAATATTTGAACCTCAGATATAATTAAAAGGAGAGTGCACTCGCTAAGGAAGGAGGGTGCCCTCGCTAACTGCCACTGTTAATTTTTAGTGTGACCGCAAAAGGAATGTGCTACACTCAGCGACTTTGATTTATTTTGTTTTCCGATTTAAAGTAAGATTTAATAAGGTTCTTCTTCAAGCCTTTTTATATATATTTTTTTTTGCTTGTAATTTAATAATTTAATAAATGGAAAATGTATTACTAGCGCTGACCCACGTTCACATTCTGTTTTACGCATACCATTTGGTATTTTTCGCTCCTGTTATGACGCTTTGTGAGCAACTCATGTTATCGTTCTGTTATTTTGCCCCTGTATTTTGTAAAAAATACCGTTTCACCATCTGGTCACACTATTCCATGACGCTTGAATTTTAGCGGACAAACTCGAAAAAGAAACGCAAAAGGGACAACGCTAGACAGAAGACCACAAATTCCACCAAAGATCGGGCCGTTTTAACTTTTAAAAGCGAACCACGCAGAAGCAGAGTCCGCCGCCAAGATGCCGCGCACCAAGATACCAAAGAACTCGAAGCGCAACCGAGATGTGGCCAACCGCGAGGAGAAGGTGCGCCTGTACGAGCTGAAAATGGATTCCCGCCTGATCAGCATCGATTCGCTGGAGTCCAAGTTCCTGGCCGCCGTCGACCACCAGGTGAAGACGCTGCTCGGCCAGGTGCAGAAGGAGCTGGCCAACCTCAAGATGCCCGAGGTGCTGCGCCTCTTCGAGGAGCTCGACCGCTTCAGCGACTTCAAGGCCAGCGACCAGACGCAGCTACTCGCCTCGATGTCCATGAGCGGCAGCGCCCTCGACGGCCACGCCCCCTCGACCACCGGGAGTCGCAATGACGAAGGTTTGTTAGCCCTTCGAGGCGTAAGTATGTATGCGTAGTAATAGCACTCCTTGGCAGAGGGTTCACCATTCAAAATTGATCAAAATAATGTCAATCCTGAAAAATGAACATTTATTCCCCAATTTATGGCGAATAATTCACATTTGCTATATTATTTTGAGTCCTTTGAGTGGTACTAATACTTAACATACCCAATCTTATCCAAGGAATATGAGTTTTATCATTGTCTAACCAAGGGTGTCTTCTAAAGTAATTCCGGTTTTGTGCCCAAAAAATCAAAGTTCCAGCGATTTTGGAAACGTTTGCAGAGGGGTTAAAATTTATATGCCAATGTTGCATATTTTTGCACATTTTCGATGTGACATCCAATTTTAAAAGGGTAATTATTATCAACTTTAAAAGTGCAGCTTTTGCTTTGTTCTAAGACTATTTAGATTTAATCCACCTTGTCTAGGTATATAATCGTTTAAAACAATATTGGGAAAGATATTTTGAATTCGACCAAAATAGAGAGACTTCGCTTCATAAAAATGATCAGGTGTAGAGATAGACTAATTTACTCTCTTAAATATATATTTTTGGTATGATAATATCTGTAATTTGCAATAGTGTTTAAACCTTCGGTCTCCGAAGCCAGCCACCCCTCCTTGTTCTCATTTTGCTCCTTTTATTTTACTCTAACTGGTGTCCGGCTTTGTGACTAACTCAACTTTGCTTTCTAACTCCGCACCGCACACTCTAATCCACTCAAAATGCACCACCCACCATCCACATCCTGTGCCGGTCACTGTATCTAGGCTACCTTACAGAGGACAGCAGCATTGGGGCCAGCGGCGGCAGCATTCTGGCCGCCCACACAGGCTCCCTGTTGCGGTCCACGAAGGCCATGCGGACTCCCGGTCCGCTGAACTCGGCCAGAGCTCGTCGAGGTCGCCGCAGCCGATCCGCATGCGGGGATCTGAATGTCCTGCACTCGGCCAAACCGCCGTCCGTTTTAAGCAGTGCCGTAGCAAACAGTGGTCGTCATTCACGCAGCAAGATGCGCACACCGATGGCCTCTCGCCAAAAGGCCTTCAGTGCCGATCGCACACCTCGGGCCCAGAAGCTGATGCGCTCCGGATCGCCAACCACTCCGCCGATGGCCTTCCTCCGGTATCCCAAGCCCGGCGAGGTGGCCCTGTCCAAGTTTGGCAGCCCCATGGTGTCCCAAGTGTAAGTCAACTAAAAATGCCTATCGCAATACAATCGTTAACGAGGTTTTTTGTGTCCAATAGAATGCCTGACAAGTTCGCCAACGTGAACATACCCATTCGGAACGGAGTTCTCAGCTTGCGGCCCAAGAAACTGGATGCTGGCGAGGTCGAGTCAAATCTTCTAGAGAACCTGGACGAGGACACCCTCAACCAAATTAAAACGCTGCACGAGAACTTGCAGATGATCGTGAATAAGGCCAGCCAGGCGGGTTTCAAATAGTTGCCAATTTAAATGCTTATCTAGATATAATTCTATATCATATATTTTAGTACGTTTCGTTAAGTTCAGTTTTCACCGCACCCCAAGTAGTTCAAGTATTTTGTCTTCATTTATAAAAATCTGTATCGTATTTACATAAGTTTCAATACAAGTACATTTTCTATGTTTATCAAAGTTTCCAGGGACTTATATGTAATTTGTGAAATATACGGTTAAAAAAAATGGTTGTTACGCGTCTACAAGCAAAACGGCTAAAGACCGAAAGAGATGAGAAGGTGCGCATCCTTTTTGATTCTGCTCTGCAAAAGGTCGATGGGATAGTCGAAAAATATAAGCAAGATGTGGACTACCAACTAAATTTGATTCGAGCAGGAGCTGATGGGCAGCTGCTTCAGATGAAATTTTCGGATTTTATGTATCTGAAGGAAAAACATCCCAGCAACTAATAGCGCAACTAATGTGAGTCCCAATCAAAATATAGTACCAAAAAAAGTAATACTCTAGAAGAGCGGACTCACTCCCAAATTTTGCGAAAAAATTACATTTACATTAAAAATTTACTTCGATGACTGGCTGGAAAACCTTATTCGCTTTAAATCAACATTTTAAACTGTGCTTACCAAAAAGTTTCCATACGAAAGGACGACCAGGAACTTTGAAGTTCCATTACAAGAGAGCACAGGCTGACCGCCAAGATTGTTCTGCATGTAAATTCTTAAGAAATCGCAATCCATAGACGATGATTTTTTCGTGGTTTTTGGGGGTGAACCTCCTCTTCTTGAATATTACCTCAAAAAATGCATTTCTTCATTAGCAACCGGCGAAATCTTGGATGACTGGATTCAAAAATGTACCAACTTAAATTATGGTTTAAAAGTTATATTATTATTCCGTTATATACTGTTATTTAAATATTTATGATTTACTTAAAATATATCATCACATTATTAAAGATCCAGGTGACTTTGTATATTTGAATCAGTAGTTGACAGACTAACGAATATATAGTACGAATCTATAGAAAAATGCCTCGCACCAAGATATCAGCACGTCGTCAGGAGCAGCGCCAGAAGGCTGAACGTGAAGAGAAGGTGCGCCTGGCCCAAATTAGGATGGATTCCGCTCTGGAGCAGATCGATGAGTTGGCCAAGCGCTACAAGCAAGAGGTGGACAACCAAATTAAGCTGATACGTGGTAGGACTGACAATCAGCTGCTCCAGATGAAATGGTCAGATTTCGCGGGTTTGAAGATTAAGACCTTTGCTGAGCATCAGTGGGCAGGTGAGATTATTTAATGAATCGTTATTTTTTATAACAAAATAAATTTCCTGGTCCCTACTAGTCTATAGAGGGTGTCAACAAAAATCGAGAGGTTGAGGTTGAGGTTGAGATTTTCATAAGCTTCAATACAAATTTCAGGCCACTTCAGCGATACGCGATTTTTGTGATTAATTTAAAAAAAACAATTATTAATCAACTGGTTTTTGTATTGTTAAGAGTTAGTTCTAACATATTTTTACTTCTTTCTACTATTCTTTTCCAGTTCCCAAGCCACCCACAACTCGTAGCCTATCCATCTGTCGCGCTCGTACCCGGACTCCACAGAATTCGCAGTTGTCGCGATTCCAGACGCAGTCGGCTGACAGGGCACTTAGAGGCGATACCATGAGCTTTGTGCGATGGCCCAGGGCCGGGGAGCAGGTCCTCTCGAAGGCCGGAAGTCCCCTGGCCGTCCAGACGCAGCCGGATCGCTGTGCCGACGTGCACATTCCGACCAGAAATGGCGTGATCACCGTCAAACCGCACAAAATTAACTCCGTGAAGCGGGAAGTACTAATGCAGCTGGATGAAAACACCCTCAACCAGGTGAAGACGCTGAACGCCAATCTCGGACTGATCGTGGATATGGCCACAAAGATGGCTAAACTAAAACCCTAAACACTTCCCATAGAAACATCATGAAACATCAAGAATGTTACGCTTATTTCATTAATATTTTATTTAGTCTTTTTCATTTTCTCATTTTCAATGTTTTTGTTCAGTTGTTAAACATTAAGTGAACGTGTCTGTTGTTCTTGTTGCTGTTGCTGCAGTTAGCTTGCTTCTTGTTGTATAATTAATTAATAAATTTAATTACCTTTATGTATATATATATATATATATATCGATTTGTAAGTACAAACATAGCGTACAGAATTTCCTCTCCACTGACTTCAAATTTAATTGTTTAAACATTTTTCTATTGTGTTGCATGTATGTGTTCTGTGTGTCTGTGAACATTTTCAAATATGCTTGTACATAAGTACTTAGTTAAACTAAAGTATATTGTGTTTTCTTTCGAATGTTATTTCCCTTTTCACTTTCCATTATGTGAATCCTTAGACAAAAGTTACATTTACACATATACAGATTTAATTTAAAAATTATTATTAATTTTTAGTGTATATAGTGTTAAATTTAGCATTTGTTTTCTTGGTTTCCCGTGTATGTAAGTGTGAAATATGAAGTGTGGATGGGAGTGTTATATGCGTTTCTATAGTGACAAATACATAAAAATACAGTACATAGCAAAAGGTACATATATAGATACTTAAAATACGCTTGTTTTTACTGAATTATTTAATACGATTTTTAGAGACAAAGACAACATATGAGGACAATCAATCGATACATTTAAACAGTGACAGTGAACGAACAGTGACAGATGACAACAACATAACACTCAGATTTGTAACATTCATTTTGTTTGTGTGGATAGGGTTTGATAGTGTTTGTAAAACGAGCCATAAACGAGTATAATCTAATCAAAATGCTCATGATAATTTTAAAACAATCTGCCGTTTACTTCAGTACAGTCTTCCCTCGAAATCACGATATTATAACATAGGCGAAGTATGGATATTTTGTTTTTCGAAGCCTAAAATAAAATATGTGACAATTTGAACTTAAGTTGCCTGCTCTTAAAGATCTGATCCCCTTCCTTAAATTCAGCATAAATATAAATCCAAACTCCTACGTGGCAAAACCAGCCTACAAGCGTTCCCCAAACGCATCTAACTACGCTAACCTCGACCAACTATCTCAAACTCGACTGCTACTTTAGAAAATGTTTCACTTCCCAGTTTCGCATATTTTGTAGGCCTATTTCGTCGTACGTTCCTCGGTCTTTCAAACTTTTGTTTTCTTTTTTTAACACAGCCAATCAACGATGCCTCCTCCATCAAACCGACCTTTTCGCTCCACTACTTTTCTGCATAGACTAAAGAGAAAATAATTCCAATATTGAGTAGTTGTGTTTCATATTCTGCGTGAGATTTGTATTTAATATTGCTCTCGGTTCTGTTAATTTTCGTGGATCTATTTTGCGTTCGTACAAATTTCTACTCGCTTTTATACAAAATTGTGCTATTTTTGCTATTTTGTTTAAAACTATATTTTGAGGCTGTTGTTTTAGAATTCGTTATAACTTTAAATGCTAGTTTATATATTACTTTTGTATTCCGTTTATCGTATGTTTGGGCACTACTCATTGCGGTTCAGGGCATCTTTTGTATTTAGTAAATAGTATTTTATTTGTAATATCAAGTTTAACAAATCTTTGTAGGCTTTATGCACGGGTACAGGGCGTTGCATTATTTGTTTTGTTTATCTCTTTCGTTCCTCGGCTAATATCTTAAATCGTCAGTGTGTGATTTGGTACAAACTTTATGGTACTAGGTTGCATACAAATTAAATAAATTCATTCGTTAAATAAAGTCTGTACAGTATAATCAAATAGTTTAGAGACGCCCGCTATTCAGATCCGGAATATAAAATTAATTTTTAGATCAGATGTGTCTAACGAAACCAATCTGACCACCGATGATCGAAATGTATATCTTCAAAAAGCTTACATGTGTCGAGAGCTGGTATGAAACTGGTTTAAATTTATTGATAAATTCTAAGATGCTTTGTATGTACAGTTGCGGCAACAAAAATAGCACCAAAGTGTGGGCAATTTTTATTTGTGTACAAAATGGTCATTTTTTGCAATATTTTTCTTCTGTGTGTAAGGGTAAGTAGGTTTACATATCGTTTAACTAAAGTAAAAATGGTTGTGGGCGTAATGCGAATGGTTTTTAAAACTTCGATAGATTTATGAAAAAAGTAGCATAATTATGCGGCAACAAAAATAGCACTATTAACGGTTTTTGGGTATAAAACTTCATTTGCTCAGATTTGTTGGCTGTTTTTCGTTTTGTTGTATTAAGAATAAGTACTACTAAGTGAATTGGTAAAATAATGCATAAAATAGTGTTCCCAATGGGTCATTTAGCGCGCTGTAATGATACAGATAGAAGGACATTTAAAAAGCTAATTTATAAAGGCAATGCAAAAGATAAGTTAAGTTGAATCGTTGAATTCTTTAAAATAATGATTAGTAGTTACCTAAAACAAGAACACAAAAGAATAGCACGCAGTACGAAAGCCGCAATGACCCCATAACTGTTAAAAAGTCATTTGCATGAATGCAAGTAGGTCCCGTTTTAGGCGCCTATCAAGTCGCTTTTTTTTTTTAATATTTGTAAGTACATAAAAAGTTGGATATAATGTACATAAAAATCAATTATGCGCTTGACGTCCAAAAAAAAAATCTCCCTAGACTGCAGAGCATGGGTGAATTTGAAGGGCGAGTTTTAAATAAGGCCCACAATAAAAGGAACACTCTTATATGGTCTGGCGGCTGAAAATTGCTCATGTTTAGATGAAAAAGACTTTAAATTCACATCAGGTAACCTACATATCCAAAATTGAGTCCCCATTTCACATTTGCAAAGAATAATAATGGTGAAGCAAGTATAATGGTATGGGCATATTCTCGTACTATAATGTTGGTACCATATCATAATGTAAACCCATACAGGATCAACATGTTCACCTTGATAGCTCAGAAATTGTGATGCAATTTTATTCGTAATACAAAACTAATTTATTTCCGAAGCTTTACCACGGTTATAACCCAAAAAAAATCAGTCAGAAAGTCGTACAAAGTTTTAAAACCCTTAAGCTAAATGGTATAATGGGGACCTTACAAGCCCCAGAACTAAAACACATCGAAAATCTTTGCAGAAATGTTAAAAACTATGTTTTTAATGCAAAACCGAAGAAAAAAAACTGCCCTCGAGCTATTTTGAAAGAGCCAGACAACAATTTTGCCAAGGGAAGATTCTGGTGTCTAGTGACGTCAAGGTCGGTCGTTGTTGTTGTTGTTGTTGCAGCCCAAGCTTTAGAACAATATTTTTTTACCTTAAGGTGTATGAAATCATACATTTCAATCAAAAAAAATTTTCAAATCGCGTTATTTTTAAGTTTTTTAAGTTTTTTATTTAAGTGGTGCTATTTTTGTTGCCGCATAACTTTGCTACTTTTTTGATAAATGTATCGAAATTTTAAAAACCATCCGTATTGTGGGCGTAACCACTTTTATTTTAGTTAATAGATATGTAACCCTACTTACCCTTACAAACAGAATAAAAATATTGCAAAAAATTACCATTCTGTAGCACAAAGAAGAATTGCCTACACACTGGTGCTATTTTTGTTGCCGCAACTGTACAACTGGATCGATAACCGTGCACGATAACAGAATAACTTACCAAATCAAATATGCACTTAAGTAGGTATTCTTATCAAAAGTAAGTCCGCTTTGCTTTCGCGTAAATATTATTTGCATTGGGGTTAGTTAGATTTAAGTGTACTGGGTTATTCTCTTATATTCTCTATGAAGTTTATACCGTTTGTAAATATTTATTTATTTTAAATATATTCGAAATAATCCCCTATATTTCGTTATGCTTATAAATTAATTAATTTCATTAAATGCTTAAATTCATTAATGCACTTTATATGTACTTTTTGTGTTGCTGTGTGTGAAATTTGCTATATCCTTACACCGTATAAATATATATTTATGAATTGGTATATATGAATAACTGGCATTAAAACTATTTTTATAGGTGTATATATAATGCTAAATGCAGTATACTTGTGTATATTCATTTGTTATACTTATACTTTCCTGGTTTGAGGTTTTGTCAGTATAAAAAACTAGGGGAGAGCTGGGCGCCGAAAACTGGCCGACATCTTTTCCGTTTCATGCTTTTTAATTTTTAATTTAATTGCATTAAATGTAGCCTCTTAAAGAAAAAAACTCATCTTAAGCTATTTATTTGAGTGTGACAATTGTAATTTAGCTAGCAGCGTCTAAAAATTATTTTCTGTAATAGATGTTGAAGTAATTTTATCTGAACCATTTGCAATCTATTTACACTTTCTTTAGTCATCTTAATATATTTCAATGATTATTCGGTTATGCTCAATATTTTCATAAATTTGTATTTTATCATACGTTTTTGAACTTAACGAGAGGTATTTCTATTTTCCCAAGTGTTAATATCGCCGCATTCTTGAATCATGTATTCCATTTATTCGTGTTGTTTGTCGTTGTTTTGGGGCCTTGTCTCAGTATCATAATTTGTTAAAGAAATCAAAAAATGGTAAATAAAGAAAACGGTTAGTTTTTAATATATTGTATATAAATTTTTATTTAGGGCTTTGCAGTTTAAACAGTATTTTAATAAAATTATAAACTAAATTTATATCAATAATATTTGTATAGCATTTGTATCGTTTCTTCTTTAAAATAATATTTATAACGATTGAACCCAACTTAATAGACTTACGGATTTAAACAAAATCAAAAATCAATAAAAAATTACATAATAGAAAACGTGAAACGTTTTTGCTCCGCTAAAGCTTGCAAAGTGTTCATTGAAAGTGTTTCGAATCATACAAGCCAATGTATTATATTTAATGTTTAATAGTTAATATAAAAATGGTTAAAATTACATATTAGTTTAAACAAAACCTGTAAAATAGCCTTCACATGAAATTGCAACGCCAACTTTGCTTTGCGCGCTTTGCTTTCTCGCTTTGATATAAAAGTATCTAAAAATAGTTACAATAAATTTAAACGAGCATTAACTAAATTACAAATTAAAATTTAAGGCGGCTCAACTTAGAAGAATTGTTAAGTGAAAATATGTACAGTTACAGGGACAGTTTTACTAATCGTAGACGAAGAGAAATATTTGGGATACGATTGGTAAATTGCTAGTTCAAAGAGAAGTAATGTTCGAAGATGCTTGAAAATGTGTAAAAAATTAGAAGGTAGAGCAAAGCCATTGGACGTGGAGGTCCTCGTGCTTTTGCAGCAACAAATTAGCAACATTTAGTATATAAAATTTAACAAATTATCACACTGAAAAATTCAACACTACTTTTAAATATACAGCAAGTTTGTGTTTTGTGTGTTACATGTTACATGTTTTCCCTTCAAATTGTATACATTACATTATCGCTTGTCGTTATATCTAGAGCTTAGCCAACTGCTGCGGCTGCCAACGCCTCTCCAAATGTCATACAATATTAATGTTATTTCCTTTTAAATATACATATATCAATTTAACAACACCTCGAAACGGTCAGCACTTAACGCGTTACTATTTATGTTTTTGCTTTGTTTCTGTTTTCCATCTTTTGTATATATAGCTCTTATAACTAGGCTTTATCATTAAACGTAATAAATATGCATTTCTTTAATCATTTTACCATCGTTTCTTGAAGTTGTTTTGCGGTTTTGAAAATATTTAACTATAGCTTGTGTCTGGTAACTATGATTTCGCGAATTCTTTAGACGAGGTTCCCATTTTGCTTTACAATTAATATTTGCTAGTATTATAAAATAAATATATTTAGGTATATATTTTTTAAATAGTGCTGCGCTAATATTTTTAATTAGATTTACATGCTTCCCCTCTTCCATCCTTTGATTTCCTATTGTTTTTTGTTTTTTTTTGTTAAATAGAGCCATAAATGCGTGCGCAAGAGAAGTATTGGTTGTATGTGATCCTTGGGTTTGAATTAGTCACCTTAGGGTCACCTCGTAGCGCTGCTGGTGAAGAAGTCCGCTGTTTTGTGAAAGGATATTAGTTTTGAGTTGGGTTTTAAATATATTTATGTCCTATGTAATACTCACGCGTCTCAAAACTAAAGCCCAGCGTTGGATCTGGCGGCGTGTTGAGCATGGAGTTGACATTGCCGCTGCCCGTGGGCGTGACGTTGCCCATCGTGTTTGTACTGTTGGCCCCGCCCACGATGCCGCCCACGCCCCCGATCACAGCGCCCTGCTGCAGCGGACTCTGCGGCGTCTGTCCCCGCTGAGCCACGCCTCCTCCGCCGCCGCCGCCTCCGCCCGTGGCCGCCGCAGCCGCCTGCTGGGCCCGCACACTGACCACCGCTCGCAGCTCCTGCTTAACAAACTCGGAATTGGCATTGCCACCGGCTACGCCGCCGCCACCGCCAGCTGAAAGATTCAAAGGGATCGTATGAGTGATCTGGGAATTTTCGACCCAAAACATTATATATATATACGGTTTAGTCACATTTGGTTGGCTCAATTCTAGACACAAAACATAAAATAAATACAAAACATACACAACGAAATACAACATGGAACACAAAGTTTGAGGCACACTGAAAATTGGGATCGGGATATAATTTGGCTAGGTGGGTGGTATCAATAAACATAAAATCCTATAGCAGCGATCAATTTTTCATCGAAATTAGCTAGCTCTTCATTTTCTAGTTTTTAAAGGTTCTTTGGGGTTCTTATCACTAAACATTGTACAGGAATTTTTGGGTACACCGAATGTTCTTTGTGGGGGTGCAGCGCCTGTATGCTAGATATTATGTACAGCTCCACCAACTTGTCTTATAAGGAATAGGTTAATTACAATGATCGTACAGTTATAGAAGATATATATATGTGTGTGTGTGGATGGGTTAGGGGTGTTGATACGTGTGGTTTCCAGCTTACAAGTAGATTTTTCTTTTAAATGTATATACAGAATGCGCCCAAAATTTGGATTTGCTTTACAATGCGTGGCAATGGATTATACAGCCAGATATATACTATATATACACAGAATTCAAGGCGGGGTGATTTATACAGCGATCGCGTGAGATATTTAGATGATGGTTTGAGTTTGTATTTCAGAGATAGAGAAGAGCACACAGGCTTACCGGTCTGCGCGCGACCATAGAAATCATTCGCCTGCTGCGGTTGACCGTAGCCGCCAAGGGTGGCACCATAGCTGCCGCCCCCGCCGCCCAGGCCAATGATGCCGTTGCCACCGCCACTGCCCATGCCGCCCACGCCCATCATCGCCGGATGCGGATGTGGCGACATGCTCAGCCCGTTCATCAGCTGCTGCTGTTGCTGATGCTGCTGCTGATGTTGCTGCTGCTGCTGTTGCTGTTGCTGCTGCTGCTGCTGCTGCTGGTTGCCGGCGGCAGCTGAGCTATCAGTGGTGTTGCTGCTGCCCGGTGAGGAGCCAAAGCGTGGCGAGCCTGTTTTGGTTAAGCGGTTTTGGTTGGTTTCGTTTGGCTTTGATTAAAACTAGTTCAGATTATCAAGTGTGTGTGTTGTATGTGTTATGTGAGAGAGTGTGTGTGTAAAGCTGTCTAAGTATGTAGTTTAATGTTTAGTATGTGGATTAAGGGGTGCTTAAATCACAAGAGATACGTCTCGCTATGCTAGCTGTAGTTCTCCCCCCTTAATTGCTCCTAAAACATTTTGTTTACTCGTAATAAATAAACCAAACGCCTAGTTCTCAGTTCAATAGTAGTTCATCCAGTACGCATCCCCGGAGCCCTTCTTACCTGGCAGATGTTGGGTGGCCTGTGGAACGCTGCCCTGCCGCTGCAGTCGCTGCAACTGTTGCTGCTGGAAAACGTTGACATTGCCGCCGTAGGGCGATTGTGGACCACCGAAACCGTCGGGCGTCGTGGCCCCGCCACCGCCCTGTCCCTGGAACGAGTTCTGCCGCTGCAGAGCCGCCGCCTGGGCTGCCGGATTGCCGCCGGGTCCCACGGCTCCCGGGGAATTGAGGCCGCGTCTCTGGTTCTGTTGGTATTGACGCGCGTTATACGGACTCACGCCCTGCAGCGCGGCCATGGAAAGGTGTTAATAGGTCTGCTTTGGCTGGCTCAAATCTCAGACACTCACCTGCAGCTGGGCGATGAGCATCGGGTTGTGCTGCTGCAGCGTTCTTCCGGCGTTACCAGCTGGCAGTGGACCACCGGGTCCACCGCCTCCTCCTCCGCCAGCTCCCCACTGCTGTGGGCTATTCTGCATGCCCGGCGACTGCATTCCCGAGTTGGAGCCAAACGGAGTGTTGGAACGTCCGCCATCGCCGACCTGTTGCTGCTGCTGCTGTTGCTGCTGCTGGTAGGCCAACTGTTGCTGCTGGACACTGTTCTGCTGCTGCTGGCTGAGCTGCTGCTGCTGCTGCGGGGAGAGACGTTGGCCGGGCTGCGGGAACTGGGGGGCATAGCCTGGGGAAAACAGTATTTTAAGTACTTGACTTCCTTGGAATTTTGAACTTAACTCACCTTGATTGGGCTGCGGACTGTAGGGCGCGCTGCGACCTGGACTGAGCTGCTGCTGCATCAGGGTCTGAGCAAAGTTCGGACTGAGCTGGGCGTCTGAGGGCAGGTTCGTGCGGGATAGGGACACATTTGGAGCCACAGTCGTGTTCAACAGCGAGCCAATGTTGTTCAAGCCCGCATTCATGCCAGCTGCAAAAGAACACACAAATAGGTTAAAGAATCATAATAAAATAAGCCTTAAATTCGAAAGATATGAGGCTGATCCTAGCTGTCGCTAAATAAACTTTTTAAAAATAAAAAAATATTAAACCGGATAAAGTCCAAGGTTAAAATATAAGCTAAGGTAATTTATAAAATGAATCATTTTCTTTAGCAAGGGATAGAATTAGATTTTTAAAAACTAAATCGTTGTTGCTATCCTAAATAAAAGTCAACATTCCCTACTACTCACTGGCATTCTCGGGCACAAGTAGCTGCTGCTTCTGCTGTTGTTGCAGCAATCGCTCCTTCTGCTGCGCGGCGGCCAACTGTTGCTGTTGTCGCATGTTTCGCAGTTGCTGCTGGGCAGGCAAAACCACGCCCCCCGGCGTGGCAACCGCGTTCATGGGGCCACGTCCTCGGGCAGGGTACATGGGCGGTGGTCGCTGGAAACCCTGGTTGCCCTGATTACGCATGGCTTCCAGACGCTGCATGATGTGCTGGTTTTGCTGTTGCTGCTGCTGGTGTTGCTGCTGCTGCTGCATGTTGAGCATTCCCGGATAGGCGGGCGGCTGTTGCAGATGTTGCTGTCGCTGCTGCTGCTGTTGCTGCTGTGCCAGCTGCAACGCCAGAAGCTGTTGCTGCTGCTGTTGTTGCTGGTGCTGCTGCTGCTGGCTCATCATAAGCTGCTGGGTTAGGTCGTTGCCAAAGGCCGTCGACTCCACGTCTTGCATCAGCGACTTTTGGATATCGTTGATGGCCGACGCCTCAGATGGGGCATTCGTCACGATGGGAGTATCATCCGGATAATACTCCATTACGCTGTCCAGCAGCTTGGACAGCTCCGAGTCGCCATCGCCCAGAATGGCCGCCGCTGCTGCAGCTGCAGCCGCCGCAGCCGAAGTGGAGGCCGCTGTGGTAATTGAGGTAGTTGCTGTGGTCGCCAGTTGCTGTTGCTGGTGCTGGAAGGCCAGCTGCGGCGGCTGCAGTTGCTGTTGCTGCTGCTGGCTGAGGTAGACATCGTTTGGCTGCTGTTGTTGCTGCTGGGAAGGAATGCCGGCGGCCTGTTGCTGCTGCTGCTGCTGTTGTTGCTGCTGCTGCTGTTGCTGCTGCTGCTGCTTTCGGTTGCGGTTGGCGGCCGCTTTGGGTCCCGTGCTGCCAGCGCTAATGAGGTTGCCCGGCGCGGCCAGCGTACTGCTCACCGTGGAGCTGGTTATGTCCGGCAGCGTCTTCACTTGCAGTGGCTGCTCGGGATTGGGGGCTTTGGGTATCTTTGGCGGATTCTGCAGTAGCTTGGCCAACATCTTGTTCTGTGTGCACAGTTTGCTGGGCTTGTCCTCCGACCGCTTGGCGGAGGGGTCGTCGTCGGGCTCGTTGAGCGATCGCTTGCGACTCAGCGACGGATCGCTCTGGATCTTGAGCATGGCCTTCAGATCCTCGGTGCTCATGTTGCCGCTGGCACTGCCACGGTGCATGCCATGGCCACCTCCATCCGGATTCTTCAGCTGGCGCATCAGCTCGCTCTGTCGGGAGTTGTTCATGGAACCCGGTCCACCACCCGATCCGTTGCCATCATCCTCCTCGGTCTTTTCGTTGAGTAGCTGCAATTAAGGGGGTTTAACAAGGGTTTTCTCCTGGTCATAGCAATCACTTACCTTGAGCAGCATGGGGTTCTGCGAATTGCCTGCCTTGTGCAGCATACTGGAGTTGCCCACACCTCGGCCCATCGATCCCATGGGTCCGAACATGCCCAGACCTCCCGGCTGGCCACCCATTTTGAAGCTGCCGCCGGCGAGCTTCTCCTCATCGGTGCCCTCCGGCTTAAAGTACTGTAAAATGGTCCAGTAGGTATTAAAACCTTCATTCCAATGGGTATATGTACTCACCTTCTCATCATCACCCAATCCTCCCAGACCGCCGGCCATGCTCTGCGACTTGGTCAGCAGGTGGCGCAATCGCTCCGAGGACTCCTGTTGCTGCTGCTGCTGTTGCTGCGGCGGTGTTTGCTGCTGTTGTTGCTGCTGCTGCTGCTGCTGGGAGAGCAACAAGCCTCCAACTCCATTTGGCAACCCGCCACCCATTAGAGGATTACTGCTGCTGCTGTTGTTGTTAACCTGCTGCTGGCTTTGTTGGACATCCTTCTCGGGCTTGCCATCGACCGTCTCGAAGGAGTGGAAGTTGAAACCATAGTTGCCTCCGCCGGCGCTGGCATTCGACTGCGGCGATGGTAGGCTGGCGGCGGAGTGCGAGGAGAGCTGATAGGGCGTGGCCGGGGAGGCGCAAACAGCCGGACTGAATCCGTGTCCCGACGGAGGACGCGGCGTGCTGACTGGCGTCGCCACCGAGGCTCTCGAATTGGGACGCGAATCGGTCCAGGGTCCCACGCCGCTGGGATCCAATTCGAATGAGGAATGTGCTGCAATGTCGAATTCGAAGGTATCGCTTCCGTAGAAGTTATGCTCCGCGGCTGCCGGCGAGGCGGTGAACGCGTTGACCAGCGCATTGGCCGACGAGCTGGCCGAGGAGCTGGCGCCGGATCGTTGCTGCTGCTGCTGTTGCTGCTGTAGACCGCTGCCGTTGATAATGGCGCTGCTCATCAGTGGTCCGCCCACGCTCGTTGTCTGTGTGCTGTTGCCACCGCCGCCCTGCTGGCCACCGCCCACAAGTCCGCCCAGCAGATGGGTGGGCAGCAGGCCAGAGGCCGCCGGCGAGGAGGAGGGACCCGAACCCGTACCGGTTCCCCCATGCATGCCGTCCATGGAAAGGCTGCTGAGCAGGGAGCTGGCCAGCGAGGGACTCGGCGCCATGGCGCACAACTGGCCCAGGCCCAATCCTCCACTGCCCGCCCCCGTGTTGCTGCTGTTCATGTCGTTCTCCGAGTTGAGCAGCGTCTGCACGGACATGATGAAGTCGCCCTCGCCGAGCGTCTGGTTCAGGAACAGTCTCGAGTTGGCCTTTACATGGACATAGATATCCGGCGCGCCCAATCGCAAACGAAACGGGCGCGACACCACACTGGTGCCCGGTCCGGCACCCGGCGAGTTGGCGCTGACCGAATCCTGGATGTCGCGCAGGTGCGACTTGAGCGTGGAGAGGTCGTGCGGATGACACAGGTCCTGCCACAGGCGGCCCACCCACGTCTGCAGGTGCTGCTTGAACGGCTCCCGCAGGGCCGTGGCATCGAGGTTGAGTATTTTGCCATGGATGTCCACCTTGAAGGTCATCTGCTCGATCGGCTGCTGCTGCACATGCTGCTGAATGTTGATCTCCAGCGGAGACTCGTCCTCCGGCCTGGTGATCAGGCACAGCACCGAGCTGCTGGCATCGGCGTCATCTGGAAATATTAGGGATTAAAGATTTGGTAAGGATATGTGTGTGCTCCTGTACTTACCCTTGACTGGAGCCGCTATAAGGACCACCTCCTCGTACTTGTCCTGATGACCGGACTGCCTCAGTGGCTTTTCCTCGCAGTTCGATGACGTCTGGGTGGCAGTGCGTGTGTCCTTGACTAGCATGCGCACCTTGGTGGAGATGCTGCGCTTCGACTTGCCCACCGCAGTTCCTCCTCCTCCCGCTGCTCCTCCTGCTCCGCCTCCTCCCTGGCCTCCCGCTCCGCCGGAACTGGAATTGGAGCCTGCGGACTGCTGGGAGGCATTGCCGTTGTTCAGCTCCTCGAGATCGCCCCAAACGCCCGCGGAGGGGCCACCGGAACTGCCACCTGGCCCAGGATTACTGGCGGAACTGCTACCGCCGCCATTCGGATTGTACATGTTGTTGATGATCGGCTCTAGCTTGGTGTGATCCCCCGAATAGAGGTACCTGTAGAGCGGCTGGTGGTACAGCTCCTGTTTCTCATAGCCGATCAGGTCGCGGATGTTCTGCGTGCAGGACTCAATGATGCCGTTGGCGTTCACCTGGAGCAGGACCCAGCCGACGCCGCTGATGTAGTGCTCGAGGGCCTCGAAGTACGCCGATATCTCGGGCACCTGGCCGAGGAGCAGCGAGGGTTCCGGGAGTGGGGGTTCCGTCGACGAGACCTCGCCCTGTTGCACCGGATGGATGGAGCAGTTGTCCGTGGCACAGCGGCTGCAGCGGGTTGAGGTTGCTTGCGGTTTGCTGGTGTTGTTGTTGTTGCTGCTACTGTTCGTGTTGTTGTTGGTCGTTGTCGCGGAGTTGTTGTTGTTCGTCGACGTTGAGGATATATCACGGTTTTGGCCCTTGTCACAAATCTCACGGTACTGCAAGGAAGAGTATCAAAAAGGGGTATTATTAGACAGTTGAGATCATGATTTTTCAAAGGGAATGTACGTAATATCTAAAATATGTTAGATAGAAAATAAAGCAAAAACTCTCCCTACAACAAGTTACTCATAACTTTCCATTTAAGGTAAGTTATACTATTAATTAGTAACCAAAGCAACATTAAAATACACGACACTATTTTTAATAGTTGTTAAAATTTTTTTTTAAATTACTTTAGCTAAGTTATTTTAGTTATTATTTAATTTGAGTTGACTATTGAGTTATTTCACCCTTTTATAACATTTTTTCTAATTTTTCATCGAAGGTTAAAATATATAAAAGTCCCGAACCTTTAACTAAAAAGAGTTATTTCATTTATTTTAAGATTTTGAGAACGTTTAATGGAATAATAATTTTTTAAAGTTCCTTAGGCAACATTAATAGCTCACTGGAATTCTACAACTTTATAGATAAAGATATTTTGAGAAAGTACTACTGTAAACGGATTTCCGTGGCAAGCCAGAAAATCCCCTATCTTACAACCGAAATATTTCACTCTACTTGTGATTATTAATCCTGTATTCTACTTTCTGACAGGCCTTATAAAGACTCATCATTGCCGTCTCGGATCGCTCGCATCTGTGAGATACATATTCCGAATATAAAAAAACTTCATTCATATCGCGCCCACTTTATCGACGACATTTAAGCTGCGATGATGCGGAAGCATCCCGTGCAAAAAGCGCATGCATATTATGACACACAGGCAGTAATAACAATAATTATAGCACGAAGATCGGCACACTTTGTGTGTGGCGGAGTGAGTGCGGCAGAAAGAGAGGGAAGAACACACTGGGCACTGGACACTGGGGTACACATGTACATAGGTATTTTTAAATGGGCAAATCATTGTATTGACACAATGGAAGTGCAATAAACCGCATTTTATCATACGAGGGTTCTATGTTTGTGTTATTTTTACGCGCGCGTTTGAAAAAGAGAGTCATTGACATTTGCGAAAAACACGCGAAAAGCCCTGGTCATATTCAAATATTATTGTTTTGGTAAGGATTTCGTTTTCCTCGGGATTTCCACGCACACCTCCCACTAGCACCCACGCCCACCCACTCTCTCTCCCACTCTCTCTTTGAGCCGTTTCTCTCGCACACATGGCAATTCAAGGTCAATCAACTTCAACTTCGCGTGGACAAATGTCAATGGCATTTCACTTTTGTTTTGGTTTGTCGTGGCTCCTGGTTTTTTGTTTTTTTTTCAATATTTATTCGGGCTTATCGGGGAGTCTAGGTGACTCAATGCGGGCCAAAAGGCGTAAATAACTTACTAAAAAATCACAGAATACAGAACACAGAACGTTCGCACAGTCACAAAGTTGCCGAAATAATAAGCACACATTTTTCGAATGCAATTGTGTTAAAAAACGCACAGCAACAACAACGAAGAACAACAATGAAGCTTCTTTGCTCTCTTTGCCAAAAAGTAAGCTTTCCTCGCGCGCTCTCTCTCGGCACTCTCTTTCCAGTTTTGTTTACCGGCTATATGCGTTATCACATTGTGCACCTGTTTGTGTGGGTGTGTGTGTGAGTGGGTGGAAGAGCGGGGGAGAGGCAGGAGCAACAACAATTAAGAACAATATAGAATGAAGCGCAATCGCAACTATGTGAAATTGCAAATAGCTGCTACGTCATCGGTGCAAAAGCATTTCAAATCAGTTCGTTGATCTCCCAAAAACACACACACACACAGAGAGGGTGAGAGAGAGAACGAGCGAGCTTTTGTTGTTTGGAATTGGAAGGAAGCTTGACCAGGAAAAGTTGCTCCCGAACACGAATTTCGGGGTGAAGGCACTCCGAAAAATATCAGTCAAATGATTAAGTAAACAACAAGAGCAACGGTAGCCGTTGCAAAAACAACAAAGGCGCTCAGCGCGTGCAGTCGCGAAAATGTCCAAAACGTGTCTGGGCTTTATCTCTCTTCTGCCCCTCCCCCTTCGCCAACCCCGTCTTGAACTTCGTTTTTGGCGCGCTGTGACCCATAGACTCTTCCGAAATGATCGGATCAGGTAAATCGCAGGGAAAGATACATAGATACAAGCCAGCAGCTGTGCGATGAAAAAGGGGTTTGTCAACACCCGTATCTCACTGGGATCGGGTACAAAAAGCTTCGATTTAAATACGTTTTCGGGTTTCCATGCTTTAGGGTTTAAGGAAAAAAATAAAATAACTTAATAAGGCTACCTGAAATAATATATTTCATTATTTAATGAACAAATATTTTGTAGCATACTCATGTGAGTGGAGGAGTTAAGGAAAAGTCCCAAAATCTGCCCATTGATCCTTAAAAGTTAAATAATTCTTTTTAATATTTTGAAATTATAATTGTAAGGAACGCATTTGATTTTGTTATAATTATTCTTCATATAAAGTTATATTATTTAAAATTAAATGGTACGTTGTAATTTTCCTTAATGTGAAGTTATATTATTCAAAAGTCAAATGGGTTATAAAATAACTTTTTTAAGAACCAAGAACCTGAAATTACTTTTTTTTAACATTTATTTCTGTATTATAAAATTTTTTACACACAAAAAAATTTTTGACAATCTATCCGAATTAATCAAGTTGTCAAAAATTTTTTTACCAAGGTTACCAACTATTAAAAATAGTGATTATAGTAAAACTACCTTAAAATGGTAAGACGTGTGTATTTCGTTGTTGGGAAAGTAACTGTTTCACTAACTTTCATGTTGGTAAATTTGACCTATAAGTTCTATATTTTGTACCAATCTTTGTCTTTTCCATCGAATCCAACGATCCCTACAAATTTTAGAATTCTATAAATTCTGGAACCCTAAAAATTCTCTAACTTTAAAATATTTTCTAGTTCCCTCTAAAATAACCAATATTAAAACCGTTAGGGGTTCCGAAATAACTCATCGAGCTAACAAATTTTTTCTTAATATCTTTGTGTCGTAGACTTTCTTTCAATTCTTGCTACCACATTTCTCAACAGTTTTTGTTTTTGGGCTATTTGTTCTGGTTATTTCCGAACAACGGGTCTAAAAATAAAACCGCACACCTCGTCGAACCCAATCACTCAATCGGCGATAAGAAGAAGGTGGCGAAACGAGTCGAGTGGAGGAAATAGAACAAATGGAACTAGCGATGCCAAGTGGCGCCGTGGCTTAGTTGGTTAAAGCGCCTGTCTAGTAAACAGGAGATCGTGAGTTCGAATCTCGCCGGGGCCTTTCCAATTGGGATATATCTTTTTTATATTCTCTTTTTTTTAATATTAATCTTTTTTCATGTCCACCGCCAAATCGAGTTGTGTTTTGCCAACGGAATAATAATATTTCATGGTGTCCATCAATTGGATTAGCGCTCGAAATGAGCTGCGTTCGATCCCTCCGGTGGCTTTTCTCATTAGGGAAAAGCCAACATGACACGAAAGCATTTAATTCAATTTATTTATTATGTACGTAACTCGTGTGCGAGCTTGTTGTACACTTTAATTGCATTTCATTGGCCCGATGACTTGTTTCGCATCCCACCGCCTGGATTACAAAATGAAATTATGTATTTTGTATTTTGGCGTTGGCTGTGTGCCGCATTTCATTTAAAAAGCCATTTGTTGGTTTTTGTCTTTTTCCGCTTTTTTTTTGCGGTTGGTATGTATTTTCGGTCTGTTCGGCAAAGCGTGGCGCTTGGCTCGAAAATAATTTGCATAATAAAGTGCTTAGGCTACCTGAAACCAATAAAAGAAATACGGCAACAACAATAATAACGCCGCCTAAAACAACATAAAGCCGCTGGCCGGGTCGGGCTATTGAAACATAAATAAATTTATGTAAATTAAATAAAAATATTAATTAAATTGTGTTGCGGCGGGGGCCAAATTACGTCAGCCAACTCTTCTTCGCCGCTTCTGCACCGCTCTTGTGCCCCTTCGCGAATTCTTTTAAGCTCTTTTTCGGCTGAGCTTTTAATTGCTTTTTAATTGGAACGCGTTTTTGATTACACAGAGAGAAAAGGACTTAGGTTGGTTTAAAGCAGCGATCGGCAAACCAAAAAGCTATTTTTTGTTCATTAATTGGGTGAGTACATTACATAGTGCAGTTCTTCAATGTGGGTGGGCTGACTGCTCTTGTACACTGTACGTGTGGCGGCAAAGACTGACCGCTGGTTTAGAGATATATAAACTCGATTGTGGAATAATATTTTATACAAATCTAAAAGTAGGTTCTTAATAAGAACTTATTACCTCCATGTATCTATAAGGTTTCTAGGTTTAACACCTACTTTTAGTTTAACATGGGAACGAGAAAACGGTCTCTTATCAATTTTCCAGTGGATTTTCCAACTGGACACACAGCTTATAAAAAATCTCATCAAAAAATTAAATAATACTTTTTTAAAGCAAATTATTATTCAAGAAAAATTAAATAATACATTTTTGAAGCAAATCATTATTCAAGAAAAATTAAGTAATACATTTTTGAAGCAAATCATTATTCAAGAAAAACTGAATTACTTGAGTAACTAAGAACCATCTTTAAATATAATTTTCCAATACTTATAAGCAAAGTGGGGATGCCATTTTTCTCTGTGTACAAAAAATATCAAAACGAAGGAGACTGAGCCAAAGTGGCGGGGAAACTGCATGGAAATTACATTGGGGAATTTCGCTCGCTTGTGTTTTTGTGGTGTAATTGATCATTTGGTATTCCGCACAGGCCAGTGGAATCGACTGGCCAAGTCCACCAAGTCAGTCGTTCCCAGGGTGTTATAACAAGTTGTATTGCTTTTTTTATAGAGTAGCTGGGTCGCGTTTCGGGCTTATTAGTTTCGTTTGATGAGCTTATGCATTGGGGTCTTGTCGGTAATTAACTTGTATGCGTGGGGGAGTGGCTGGGACGACCATATCCATATCAATAGATTCTTACCGTTCGAACCACTTGGTTTAGTATAGCCGCCTTGTCCGGTTTCGTTGAGGTCATATCTCCACGCTTGTTCAGCGTCAATATCTCCGACAACTGCTCGATATAACCATTCTCCGCCTCGCGACGTCGCTTCTCATTGTTGCATTTGTTGATTTGTGATTGGGGCTGCAAGGAATGCAATATTAATATTTAATAATTAATCTTAAATATATTCATATATTTGAGGTGGGTAAAATATGAGCTCTCAATTCAGATAGGGTTAATACTGCATATTTTATTTTTTTATCTTGATAAAAAAAATGTATCTGCATACCTACTAGTTAGCTAAACCTTTTCTATTAACATTTTTAACGCTTTCGAAAATTTCAAAAAATTTAATTAGTAGAACAGTTAACTAAGTAGAGTAAAATCAAATGAAATGTGGTTTATTGCTTACAATACTTAGATGTTATTAAATATGTTATGTTCATAATTTTTCAGATCTATCGTTTTACTTGTTTCAATGTATCCACATGTCAAGCTTTATAAAGATTCTCTATAGTTCAAATTGTACTATCTACTTTTACTTCAAAAATTATACGGGTCCAAAATTCGATTATAACAAACATAAACAATTAATGTACCCTAATATTTGGTCTACATTATACATTATTATGACAACGTTGCGTATACGCAATTTTGTGTATGACTTTCTCGTTTTTTGAGAAATTTAATAGTTCGCTGTAAAGGGCATACATTAAGTTTCACCCTATAGACTGGAATTATTTTACAAAGTCATCGTAGCCTATAGCATATTTTTAAACATGTACGTTTTATTCAAATTTGAAATCTATTTCTTTTTTTAAATAATAAGTTAGTCGAAAGTTAAGCAAAAGTAATACCACAAGAGGGACTTCCCCTGACGAAACCTACCAGATTGACCTTTGCATCCGTCTTACGTCGTATCTTCCGGCCGGAGTTGGCAGAGTTGGCTGAGATCGGCGATGCCACCGCGTTCATAATGGCAGTGGATCGCTGCAGGGCAGCAGCAAGATTTGTTTGTGCGGCAGCGTTGGCCGCCACCTTATTTTGTATAGAACGCTGCGAGATGATTTGCTGCTGCAGTTGCTGCTGGTAGGCCAGTTGCTGCTGCTGGTGTTGCTGCTGCTGCTGCTGCTGATGTTGCTGCTGGTGTTGCTGCTGCTGTTGGAGTGTTAGTGCCGCTGCTGTCGAGGCGCCTGCCACGCCCCCACCAGCACCAGCCCCGCCTCCGCCGGCTGCCGTCGCGCGCTGCAGCGGATGCGTTCCGGGCGCCAGTCCGTGATGCAGGCCGCTCAACAAGTTGCTGCCAATCCCGCCGCCGGCCGATGATAGAGTAACGGCTGCTGTGGCAGCGGCCGGCGAAGAGCGCGGCAGGTTGCAGACCGATATGTTGCCGCTGTTGTACTTGTTGCTGCTGTTGCTGCCGCTGGCACTGATGCTGCTGCTGCTGCCGCTGCTGCTGCTGCTGGTTGAGGTCGCTGGATTTGATGTACCTGAGGCCCAATGATCTGGTAAGTCACTTGGGCTAAGCCTGCAACGGGAAAGGTCAAAGTCGAAATTAGCGAAGAGTTTGTGGATATACGAGTATATCAATTTACAATAAATTTTAGACGACAAAATTTGCCAAATTTTAATATTATCATTGGGAAAAAGCTTGTAGTTAAATTTAAAATATATTTTCTAGAACTATAATTCAATATTTTTAAAGAAAAAGCCTATTCTTAGATAACCTACTGACCTAAAATGTAAGAATTATTGCCTAACAACGTGTCTGCCCTTATATTTTAGAAAAAAATAAACTTAAAATTCACTCAGACAATAAACTGAGGAATAAGTAAAGGTTATTTTCCCTAAAATATGAGGGTATTGCAATAGATTTAGGTAATAACTCACACATTTTAGATAGATCCAGTTTTGTTGGTGTTTTCTGGTTATATTCACTCAAATTTGTTTAAAGCATAAAATCCTTTACTGAGCATTTAAAAACTTTATTTATTGTTTAAAGATTATCTATACACCTTAATAGATTGTTATAAAAGTTGCATAATTAGATGTAAATAATTTAAATGAAGCAATTTATTGTCATTATATGATTTTAGATTACATAAATGTAGCTCAAATCGTAAAGTAATTACTACTAATTATTTAATTATAACCACTGGCGAAAAGCCTTGACTTTGGGCTTAGACCGGCTTGTGCGGTTTGGCCTTGTATTCTTATCAGAATGTAAAATTTCCTATGCTTTTTTTCCTTCCTCCTTTATATTTCACTGCTTTTATTTTGGTTAATGTGCTGCTTCAATTACGCTTTATTGCCTAATTAATTTGCATTTGAGGAGCGCAAGAAACACCGACAACAATTAGCTGTTTGTGTGGTTAGTCTTTGAAATAGAAACGCAGCTTTTGTGGTTAGGGACTTGAATAGCTGATTTATTTATTGTGATATAATACTAGTATTACATACATACATTGTACTTTAAGAAAAATGATTATCACCATTGTTCAAACCAAAGAAGACCATTTGTATTTTAAAATTAATTTTACTTATTCATACTTTCATAATACATGATAGAAATCTATATTATTCCTTTATGTTTGTAATGCAACCCTTTTCAAAGTTTAACATTTTCAGATATTTTTAAAGAAGGTTAAATTCTCAACAATTTGGCCCTATTAGCCTTGAGGTTTCACTTGCCAATCTCGACTATTTCCCCGAGCAGGATTCCATCCCCTTTCCCCAAAAAACGTAAATTTTTCCTGTGGAATGTGACATCTTCATTTTGTACAGTGGTAGCCACTTCAAAGGATGTTGAGATATGTTCCTTGTTTGCCGCACAAACTTAATCATTTGTTAGCCGGGATTTTGGCAAGTATTTTGGGTAGGTGGTGACCCCGACTTTTGCCTTTGGGTTGCCGCCGCAACGTGAGGCAAATTAATGTTGTCAGCTTTGTACTGGCTTTTTGGATCCCGAAGCCGGTTAAGAACCCGGACTTGAAGTGGTCATAATGGCCATTATTCTTCTTGTTGCTCTGGTGTTTGGTACCCTCCCTTTCCAACATTTTTATTTGGGCTCTTTCATGTCAGTTTTCATTTGGTTAGGTGATTAATTGCTCATTTTAGTTGCTTAAAGTCCGGAATAAATTACTTTATTTTGCATTCTGTGCGACACTTGACGAAATGTTTTTTCAGGAAACAAGAAATTAATTGACGGAAATTTGCTTAATCCAAGAACACAAGAGAGTTCATCAATCCAATTGCAGTAAACTATACTTTTGCTTCCCCTTTTTGCGGACCGCATTCACCTCGGAGACTCACTCAACCAGTTGAGCGTGAAACCTTCAGTCCAAATTGAGGACCACCCGGTGCGATAACTGCTTCTTATTTTTGTTCTTCCACTTTTTTAATTACATTATATGCATAATGAAGAGAACCCCAGAGATTGGGGAGCGGGTAGCAACCGAGAGCTGCAACAAAATAATTACAGACAACTGGACATGATGGGGAGATGTAATCAGCGCAGAGCAGGGAAAATGCGAAAAAACTAGAATTGTGAGGCAGTTTCGGTGGGTAATGGTCAAAATACACGTGTAAAAATGTTTTTCCTATGTCAGATATTGATATAAAAATTTTAGATTAACAGAGATTGTTATTTCTCTATAATAAAATCAAAAAAATATGAATGTTTGATGGTATATTTTTGAAAAAAAACCTAAATGCTAACAGAAAAGAAAAGTTGGAAAAGGCATCGCTATCTAGAACTTCAGAACACTTTAAGCAACCTGTATAATTTATCAACGAATTTAAAATATTTTTTTTAAGAAAATGGGGGTTCCAATTTGATAAACTATTAAATTATTGTGAGTACTTAAAATTTTTTAAAAGGTTTTCCTATTAGCTCCAAAATGATACCATCCTTGAAACTTAAAAGTTCCTTATGATAGCACAGTTTAGAAGAGTTTTTACAATGGCCTTTAGCAAAATATTATTTTTCTAGGGCAATGTAATTCCCGCCTAATGTTCAGAAAATGCAAATGATCTTTTGATCGTTTTAAAAACGAGGATTCGAATTCGATGAACTAATAAATTACTGTATAATGTAAGCATATACAATTTTTATAAAGGTTTTCCCATTAGCTCCAATATGATACCATCCTTGAAACATAAAAGTTTTTGCAATGGTCTTTATCTAAATATTATTTTTAAAGGGCCCTGTAGTTTCCACCTAATGTTCAGAAAATGCAAATTATCTTTTTGAGGGTGTACAAAAAGTGGGGGAGCTGCGATGGCCGGACCGTTGGGCGCCAAAATGAGTGACGTATATACCTCGGAATCTTTCTCCCCCCTGACAAGCGCAATAATTGTGCGAATTCTTTGCGCTGCTGCTTCTGTTTGTGGCTGGCTATTTTGACAGGGCGACACTTAAGTGTGGCAGTCCGCTATGATCATAATCATCCACATCGGCCACATGCCCATCCCATGCTCTATCACTCAGCCACACAGGGCGTATGATTGACGCGCTTAATTAAGGCGGCCAGAAAAGAAACACAGGCGAATAGCGTAAATTAATGAAATTACAATTAATGCAATGGGTTTTATTTGCGCTATTTGTGCCTTTTTTGTTTTGTTGGTCTTATCAATTCGCACTTTGCTGCTGGGGCTCTCAATCTGCCTCTCGGTTTTGCTATTTTCGCCAGTTTATCGTCACGAGCCAAGGGGAAACACATCGTATTTATAGGCAAACAACCAAATAAATGCAAAGTGTAGAGAAAGAGGGAGAAAAGGCAGGCTAAAATAGACTAAACTTTCGCCCCAAAGCAAAACAAACATTTTGCCTCGAAGTGACAATGGAAATCGTTTGTTTGATCATCGGGAAATTGGCTGTTGGGAAAACACAGATCTTAATGGGTCGTACGACTGAAAAGTGAATCTGCGCCAGTTTACCAAGGACAGATAATGCATTTCACTTTCTAGAAACGCTAGAAATTCAATGTCGAGGGATAGTAACAAATTAAATGTATTTTCTAAAATGTATACTTTATAGTTTAGCATGATATTTAGGGAAACATTAAATATTTATCACTTATAATTGTATTATACTTATGATAAGTTGATTTATTGAACTAATAACTATTAACTATTATTTAGGTTTACTTGATTTATTAAAATAAAACAAATAACTGAATAAAAAACGTATTGATTTAAAAATTACGTAATTGTGAAATAAACGCTGTTGCCCTGTTTTATCACCGCTGTCAATAAAATTCCGCTGAATTCATATAACAACCTGTCAGCAGCAACGATTCCCCGAATGTTCTGGCAATGATTTCACCCTACCTCTCCTTTCAAACTCTTTGATGATGAATTTGCATACCAATGGAGACTTAACCCACCGGCAAGGTCGTTCCATTTCACATGAATCACAGCCCGTTGGCAAAATGCGAACGGAATTAAAATATAGAGAAAACAAATTACTCATTATATTTAATGTTGATTGTTATGTCAAGTAGAGTTTGAAATTTTGGCTTTAGCATTTTCGAGCTTTTATTTACACCTATACGAGAGCTTAGACAAATTGAGTCACGACTCACGTGATAATGATGATGATGATTATTATGGAGTGTATGCTGTGCAATTTAGAATCGCATCACTCATACGCACCATGTGCCCAGAAGCCCGGGAAGCGAAAAAAATTGCAAACAAACCTTGGGGGCAAAGCTCAAAAAATTATTTTGATTTTTGTGGGTTTTGGAAGGTCTACGTGATGTTTGGCATGGCGGCTTTAGCTTGGAATTTGGAATTCAAAGTAGATTATGCTAGAATTGTAAAAAAAATAAAAGCAATTGATTCATTTTCTGGTGAATTGGGACTTTAAAAATAAATAAGTTATACAGTATCCTAAATGTACATATTATATCCGCTAAAGTTGTTAATGTAAAAAAAAAACAGAAAGAAAGATATTACTGTGGCCCTTTCCATTGTTTTATAAACTTTCTTTTGTCACAGATAAGAAATTGACTGCATATGCGAATTAATTTCGGGCTATGTTGAAATTAACAACGACAACCGTTTATCAACCAGAAAGTTCAAGATAGATTATAAAATTGTTGAAATTACTTATACTTTGTGTCTTTTTTTATAACAATTTTTTTTAATTGATTGTTATTTTACTAAAATAAAATCCCAATTAAATTGTTAACTTATTCGTTTGTATACTCATTCAAAGTTATTTGTACTGACTCACATTTCGATTCACTTCCGCATATTTGACAGTATCCTTGGCACCAATTGCGAATTGATATCACCCTCAAAAACAAATACATTTTGTAAATATTTTTGTCTGTTTATTTGTGCCTGCGGAATGGAGTTTCTATGGAATTTTAATGGTGACTTGCTCAAAAATGCTGATTCATTCTGACTAACCCAAATGTGCGGGTTAGCTTGTGAAGTAAGGTCACCTTACTTTGGGGATTCCCAAGGGTGTATAAAACGACAGAAATATATCTGAAGTTTTCGATGCATTTTAAGTGGAGG